TAGTTTCTGGACTTCCCTCCCTGAAAAGCAAAACAAAACAAAAACCTTCACATTCATAAGCCTGTTCTTGTGTAGGCTAGACCACTCTTTCTTGGGGGGCCCTAGCCATATTCACTTCACCCCCCGTTAGTCACATCCTGAACTTTTCTACCTGCTACCCAGCAGCCTTGGCCCTGGAGTGTGTCAGTACTGCTTCCCATCCTCACCCACCTCATTAAAATGTAAGCTCATTGAAGGTAGGAGCTGTCTTCTCTCCTTGAATTTGTATCCCCGGTACATGGCACAGCTTTATCTAAAATGAGTGATGGCAACAAAAGTCGCTTTGAGAAATCAGAAGAAAGATGGGCATGGGGTGGAGGAGGCTTTGTGAAGAAGGTGGCCCTTGGAGAAGAATAAGGCTTAACAGTGAAGAACAAAGGTGCAGAGATATGAAGTTTTGTTTCTAAGAACATCACTTCTAAGGGTTCACTTCGCTGTATTCCTTTGCTTGAAAAGATCCAAAATGTGTAGGGACCAGTGGCCATTTTCTTCAGGATTATGTGGAATCCCAGGAGCCATTGGGAAAGCATACCCATTTTCTAATTCCCCTTGTGGATAAAAATAGATGTTGGGTGTATGAGGGGAGGATAGAACAAACATATCTAAGACCTTCCTATTTGTTGAAGAAGGGGAAGGAGCAAGAGCTGTTTCCCTGGAGAGCTTTGCAAATAGGCTGGAAAAACACATGGGGGGTTGGGCCCATAGGCAGTTAACAAATACTTGTTAACTGACTGAGAGACTTAGGTCCTGTTCGCCTGTGAATATATGTCGGTGGATGGACCAAACTAAAATGAAAGATTTTTCTACAATAATCTATGAAATACCTTCCTCTTCTCTCTTTTTTCCTGATTACATTTCATTTTATGAGATTCAGCCCAATTTTCAAGTCCACCAAGGGTTTTTTTGGGTCCTGACTATGTCAGTCAATGTATTAACTATTCCTGCCAAGTTTATGTGACTTGCAGATTTGATCTATGCCTTTATCTAAATCACTGGTTTTTTAAAAAATTATTTTTATTTCATTAAATATTTCCCAATTATATATATAAAAAAAAATTAACATCATTTAAAAAAAAAGTTTGAGCTCCAGATTTTTTCCCCCCTCTTGCCTTGAGAAAATAATTTGATTTCAGTTATAGATGTGAGGTCATGTAAAACCTATTTCCATATTAGCCTTGTTGTAAAAGAAAATACAAAATAATAAAAGTAGAATAAAAAAGTATGCTTCGGTCTGTATTCAGAATTCATCAGTTCTCTCTCTGGAGGTGGATAGCATTTTTTGTTGTGGGTCCTTTGGAATTGTCTTAGATCATTGTTTTGATCAGAGTAGCTAAATCTTATCCCGTTTGATCATCCTTACGATATTGCTGTTACTGTGTACAATGTCTCCTGGTTCTGCTCACTTCACTTTGCATGAGTTCATATAAGTCTTCCCAGAATTTTCTAATCATCCCATAGCACAATAGTATTTCATCACAATCGTATAGCACAACTTGTTCAGCCATTTCCCCAATTGATGGGTATCCCCTTGTTTTCCAATTCTTTGCTGCCACAGAAAAAGCTGCTAAAAATATCTTTGTAAAAATGGATCCTTTTCCCTTTTCTTTAATGTCTTTGGGATGCAGACCTTTTTTAAAAAACAGGTTCTAGTCTCCCTTTGCCTCTGAATGGACCTATGCAGATGGGTAGTGTTAAGAATCAAGGGGTTACAAGGGCATAATTGAAATTGAGGTCACTGATCATGAAGTTTAATGACCAAAATAGGTGGCCCTTACTTATCACCTAGCTCCAGTTCAGTTTCAAAACTTATTTGATTTACATTTTTAAAGTGCTGTATAAGTGCTAAGGTGTTTGCTTTTTTAAAGGTCATTGCTCTCAGAACATTTAGTCTAGTTGGGGGTGATAAAATCAAGTATGAGGTGAGCAGTGTGCTCTGTTAGAAAGTGATCCATTAAAAAGGCTTTGAAGTCCAAGGGCCTGAGTTTAAGACCTGTCCCTTAGCTCTTCTCCTGAGTCACTTAACCTCTGGTCCTCAGTTAATCATCTAAAATTAGAGGGTTGGTCCTATCCGTCCCCAGTTCCTTATTTTAGACTGCATGCCTGCTTATCCTCCCAAGAGCTTTCCTGGTTTGGTATTGATATGATGAAATGAGTGGGTCATTGGGTGGGACAGGGAAATCTTTCAGTGAGATGGAGATTTTTGTTGTAGTCAGCCCTGGAGTAGAAGGGAGGGTGAGGTAGAGTAGTATTCTAGTTATCCTTCTCATACCTTTATTCTGTATACCCTCTCATTCCTGAGAGAGTTCTGATGTTCTGTATGTTCCCTCTGTCCCTTCCTCTCATCCCTTCTGCTTCCTTTTTCCTCATTCTGCTCCTCCTTGTTGTTCTATGTTTTGACTTGCAGCTAAATCATTCTCTTCTCTTCAGTATACCGATGCATACCTCCAGCACTTAAGCTTTTAAAGTATTTGTTTTGGTACAATCCTGTGAGGTAGACAGTGTGAGTATTCTACCCATTTTACAGGTGTAATTAAGACACAGAAGTAGAGTTGCTCAGGATCATACAACTAGTAATTGTTAAAGATGAGAATTGAGCCTCAAGTCTTCCGACTCAAAACCCAGCCTTCTTCCCACCGCCATGTGTAAGTGGAATATAATAAAATTATTTCAATAGGTGTTTATTTACTAAGTACCTACCTCACTGTGTGTGCCAGTACTATAGGGGGATATGAGAGAACCAAAACCTCAAAGAGCTAACAGTTCAGTGGTCTCCAGATGTTTTTTGATTATGTACTATAAATAAAAGATTTTGAGCATGCATCACCAATTTGTGCATATTTACTTATTTATGGGTTATATATGTGACTACTGGAGGAGGCTGTGGGGTCTCCTCCCTGATCACCCTGGAGTAGTCCTCTCAAGGCTCCACCCCACTTTTCCCTCTGGTGAGTTCCTTCTGGAGCCTCCATTTTGTAAAGAGACCAGAGCTGACCTGCCTTTATTCCCCTCTGGGGAAAGTTCCTGACTTCCTGGACTTCCAGATGATGCCCTCTCATTCTCCCCACCCCACCCCTGCTTTTCAGCTCCCTTTTGTGATGTCTTTCACCATTAGAATGTAAGCTCTTTGAGGGCAGGGATCGTCTTCTTGCTTGTATTTGTATCCTCAATGCTTAGTACACTCTGCTTGGCATGTATTAAGCCTTTAATAAAAGTATTCTTCTTTTCTTCCCTCCTTTCTTCCCTCCCTTCCTTTCTCTAAAACTTGAACACTAGAAAATTGAAATTAAAGAGGATGTGACAAAGATGAAATATTTGATCATAGAATCATTAAGGAGTCACTAGAGGTTATTGAGTAGGAGAGTAATATGGTCAGATCTTCACTTTAGGAAAACCACTCTGGCAGGTGGGTGGAAGATGGATTGGCTTAGAGTGTAAAGAACCTTGAAGCAGGGAGGGCAATTGCAAATAAAACTCTGAAAGCTCTAGGAATTGTGATGAATACGATGGCCATCCGGTATTCCCGAGGGTCCGTGAAGAAACGTGATATCCACCTCCTGGCAGAGAAGGAGATAGGTTGAGGGTACGGAATGAGAAATAGGTAATTTTGTAGACAGCTGAAGAGGGTAGTTGTTTTGCTTGACTATGCATATTTGTTACAAGAAATTTGTGTTTCTTATTTTCAGTGGGGTGGGGAGTGAAAGGTAGAGAAAATAGATTTTTGTTAATTAAAAAATAAACATTGGGTACACTTTCAGATGAGGTCACTGTATCGTTAGTTTTGCTCACTTGTTTTGTGAGAGGAGAGACGGGGTAGAGGTGAATGGAACTTTAAAAAAATTTAAAGACATGTTGGGGGAGGGGCGTAAACCAATGCTCATTTGGATGTAGGTAGATGCTTACAAAGTGAGAAGTCCAAGGTGCCCCAGAGCATGTTGTGATACCTTGTGCCTGGAAGGATGGTGGTGGCCTCAGCTAGAAACGGGAGTTTTGGAAGCAGGAGATGAGGTAGAGAGATGTGTTCCCTGTTTTCTTAATGGTGCCTGTGGAGCAGCTGTTCTGGAGACCCCAGTAGCAGTCTGCTTGTAACTGCTCTGAGGGGTTGGCCTGGGTGGCGCCTGCTGGGGTTAGGGCCTGGGGGGTGAGAAGGAGCGCCTGGGCAGCTGAGCGGAAGAGTGAGGGCTGGGGCAGAAAAGGGAGCTTGTGACGGAGGGACGGGGGTGGGGTGGGGGGGGTTGTGAATGAACTGGCCTCTCCCCTTCCCCCCCTTGGAAGAAGGCCGGCCTGGGGGAGATCAGCCTTACAAGCACGAAGGTACGGTCCTGTAGGAGCTGATGGGAGAAGGCGTCGGGCGTGCAGGAGTAGCTGGGAGAGGCTGCAGGGAGGGAGGATGAGAGAGTAGGGCAAAGGCCTGTCTGGGGCAGGGCTGATCAGCAAAGGCTTCCCGGAACATCACAGGTTCAGAGGCTGTCTGGCCCAACTACCTCATTTTACAGATGAGGACTCTGAGGCCCAGAGAGGTTAAGCCACTGGCCTAAGGTCACAGAGCAGCTATTTGACATGATGACTTGGGTTCAGATCCTGCCTCAGATGCTTGTTAGCTGTGTGGGCCCTGGACAGGTCATTTTGCTCTTTTCTCATTTGTAAACTAGAGATAGTAACAGCCCCCATTTCCCAGGGTTGTTTTGAGGATCAGATGAGATACGTGTAACGCTTTGCAGACCTTTAAAGTGCTGTATTTATTATGTATTATTTTTATCATGTGTTATTGTGACATAAACTAGCTGATATATAATTAAGCTAGCTATCCATACTCTCACAGCTGGGGTTTGTCCTCGGGGTCTCTGCTGAGGCCAGCCGGCCTGGGTCTCGGGCTGTGGGTTTGATGGAAGGTGTTCGGTCCAGGTGGGCAGGAGGCGGGGATGCACACAGATTTTTGCTAGCCTTGCTGCTTGTTGTTTTAGCCGCAGCATATGCGAGAGGCCATGCTGATCCTGGGAAAGCTGCATTACGTGGAGGGGTACTACAGGGATGCAGTCAGCATGTATGCCCGGGCTGGCATTGACAACATGTCTGTGGAGAACAGGCCTTTGTACCATATGCGGCTGGTGACCGAAGCGTTTGTGATTAAAGGTAATTGTTGGTTCCCTCTTTGTCCCCTGTCTTCCACCCTCCTTTCCTCTAGGGGTCTTCAGCCGCTAGTCTCACTGGTGCGGCTGAATCTGGGCTTTGTTGGCCTTGGTGGGGGCAGCTTTCTTAAGGAGGAGATATATGAGGGTCTTGGGAAGCTGGGGGCTAGGTTGGTTTGACAGTCCAATCTACTTGAACCACTGGGCAGGACTTGCATCCTACAGTCAGTGGAATTGGTGGTCTGGCCTGGCTGTGGAGCACTGGGAAAGTCACTTAACATCTCTGGGCCTCAGTTTCCCTTTAAGTCATTTAAGGATAACACTTGTCCTAGCTACCTCATGAGATTATTGTGAATGTGAAATGGGGTGATGGAGAAAGTAGTATTTTTTTCCCTTGATTTTCTTTTTTAAAATTAATTTATTTTGATTTATCAACCATCATTTCCATAAGCTTTTGAGTTTTAAATTTTTCTCCCCCTCCCTCCCCAAGATTGGCATGCAATCTGATATAGGCTATGCATATACATTCCTATTAAACATATTTTCACATTAGTCATGTTGTAAGGAAGAACCAATTGGAGGAACCATCAGAAAGAGGAAACAAAACAGAAGAAAAAAAATAGCAAATAGTATGTTTTGATCTGCATTCAAACTCCATAGTTCTTTCTCTGGATGTCATAGCTTTTTGCATCATGAGACTTTTGGAGACATCTTAGATCCTTGCATTGCTGAGAAGGGTTAAGTCTGTCTGTATTAGTTATCACACGATGTGGCTGTTACTGTGTACAGTGTTCTCCTGGTTCTGCTCACTTCATTTGGCATCAGTCCATACAAGTGAAAATAGTATTTTTGAGAGAGTTTGAAAAGTGTGCTATTCAAATTTAAGGGCTGGCCACTATACTTTGTCCGCTGGAACACTCACAGCAAATATCTGAACATCCTGGAGAGGTTCCTGAGAAGCATGAGATAGTGGTCTCTCACATCCGGGAGCTACTTTTTGAACCTTGTCCTAGAACAAGGCCAAGCACATGTAGGTACAGAGAGAGAAAAACCACCCGCTGCCTTGTATAGTTCTTTCAGTGGGGGACTCCTGGCAGTGCAAGCCGTAGTCCAGAGGTAGTTGACATCACTGTGGTCCAGAAGGACTTTATGGAAAAGGCAGAGCAGGAGCTGAGCCTCGAAAGATGGGTTGGAACTCATGAAACATTTTGTTTCTGTTAAGTCGTATTCCAACTCTTTGTGACTCCATTTTGGGGGTTTTCTTAGCAAAGATACTGTAGTGGTTTGCCATTTCCATTTCCAGCTCATTTTAGACATGAGGAAACTGAGGCAAACAGGGTTAAGTGACTTGCCCAGGGTTATATAGCTGAGGCCAGATTTGAACTTGGAAAGATAAGTCTTCCTAACTGAAGGCCCAGCACTCTATCTGTGTGCCACCTAGGGAAAAATCCTCTTAACTGCTTTGCCAGCTTTATCTTTGCCCTGCTTTTGCATGCCCGGTTAGAGTCTGGGCCAGGAGAAGCCTGTGGAGTAGGTATTAGTGGCAGTGGTGGCCTGAGAAACATAAGAAGCATCCTCTAACTAGGGTGTTTCCAGTGACCCCCAGGCTTGCACCTGCTCTTCTCTCTGTCTTCTGTCTCTCCCCACCCCTCCCTCTCCCTCTCTCCCCCTTTCTCCCCCATCTCCCTCTTCTATCTCCTCTCTTTTCTACTTTTTCCTCCCCCTCTTTCCCCTCCCCCCTTCTCTCCCCTCCCCTCTCTCTGTTTCTGTCTCTCAGCTCGTGACTTAAATAAAAGGGATCATTATAAACCACTTTATATAGTAACTTGTTTGTCCATCTGTTGTATTATTTTAGGTATTGCTGTAGATAAGAAGTATCCTTCTAATTTTTTAGGTTGCAAACTGGGTCCCAGACAGATTAAATTCGTTGCCCAAGATTTCCGTGAATGCGTAGAAAGTCTCAGTATGTCTCCCGACACCCAGCTCTCCAGGTGCTTTTCCTCCAGAGCATCACATCTCCCCTGTTTATGCCATATAAATAGGTAGCAGTGGCTGTTGGTGCCTTGGCAGAGATCTAGGCGGTAGGCAGAGCCTGCCCTGGATCTTGTCCCCCAAATCTCTTCAGCTGTTCTTTGCCTCGCCACTGTTGTCCTTTTAGCGTGTGACTTCTGTCTACCCCCCAGAACAGGGCTTACCCACCTAGAACCCTTGGAATCTCTCCTACCCCTGCCTGGGATCAGAGCCGGGACTGGGGGGAAGAGTAGCCTCTGGACTGAGGGGCGCCGTGCTTTAGCTGGTGACCCTAAGAGAAGGAGTGTGCTGCAGTAGAGCCGAGTATGAATATGTTGTGGGCTGAAGACAGTCCCGTCCCAGTGGACTTCTGCCTTTACTCGCTCCTCCTCTTATTTTCTGAGCCCTGTTCCAGGATGTTCCCAGGCTGGTCTGGGCATGTTTAATTTGGGGGTGTGGGCGTTGCTACCATCTGGCAACCACAGCTCCTGAACTTGACGGATTGTACGTGTGTGTGTGTGCACACATGTTTGTGCGTGTGTGTGCATTTGAAAATATAGTTCATCTGTCACTGGAGAAAAAAACTGTAATCTCTTCCTTGAGTTTGATTTTTGGTTCTTTTTCATAAATATGGCCCAGTATATATTGCTATTTGTCTACTGCTTTCTGCTCTTTTCAGCAGGCCACCAGGTTGTTAGGGGTTTGAGAACTCTGATCAGAGGTGCTGCTGGGTAGGTAAGGAGCCAGGGGCTGCCGGAGGGGCTGGCTGTATTCCCTGTAGTGTGGGGGTGTGCCCTGCTCTGCTCGGCCCCGCCCCCTCACCCTAGTGCATGTTACTGAGGCCTTTTTCTTTCCTGTTGCCTCCATACTCTGTGTCATTTGGCGTGCTTGGCTCTGCCCTTGTCTGTGTGCTCGTGTGTGTACATGTATTTGCTGGCCTGCTAGTGAGTCTGCTGGTCTGCATGTTGATGATCTCAGGGCTGTGTGTGAGTCTTGTGCGCCTGAGGTCCTGGGTCGCCCACTCACCCACTGCCTTAAAGAGCAGGGGAGATCAGGTCAGAAGAGGAGCTTGACGGAAAGCTAGCCAAGAAAACAGCGTAGACTGCATTAGTTCCTTCCTACTTGGAATCCTTCTCGACGTCTCTGCTGCCTTTGAACCCATCTTGTCCTGTAGGATTCTTTCTTCTCTGGGTTTTGCTGCTGCTGCTCTCTCCCGATCCTCCTCCTCCCTATCTTACCATTGTTCGACCTTCTTTGCCGGCTCGTCATGGGACTGCCCTCCCTTACTGTGGGTATGCCCTCCAGCTTTGTTCTTTGCTCTCTCCTCTTTCTTTCTCTCAGTGATTTCATCCAATCTCATGATTTTAACAGTCGTCTCCATGCAGATGACTCAGATCTCTACATCCAGTTCCACATTACCAGTTGCCTGTTGGATGTTATCATACTGGATGTCCCAAGGACGACCTGACAAACAAAACATATCCAAAATGGAGCTCGGTTATCTTTTCCTCTAAACCCTTCCCTCTTCCAAACTTCACTATTTCTGTCAGAGGCACGGTCATTCTTCCAGGCTGGTCCCTTGCTGCTGTTCTCAGCTCCTCGCTCTCCCTTGTCATTTTTCTCTCCCCACGTTTCTTGCATCTGACCCTTCCCCTCTTCTAGTAGAGCCACCACCTCAGTCCATCACTTTTTCCTGAACCATTGCAAAGGCCTCCCCACTGGGCTTCCTGGCTCAAGTCTCTTCCCAAAGTGATTTTGCTTAAGCACATATCTGAATATGTGATTCCCCTACTCAGTGGCTCCTTTTTACCTTCAAGAGTAAAGGTACACTCTTTGGTTTAGCTTTTATAATACTCATCGTAATTTGGTGCCCCAGCCTCATTGGACACTGCTCCCCCTCCCGTGCTCTGTGATCAGCAAAATTGGCCTCCTCTCGGTTCCTGACTTAAGATGCTTCATTTCCCTTCTCCTGGCCTTTGCATTAGTCACCCCCATGCCTGGAGTGCCCTTTCTCCTCACGTCCACCTCAGATATGGCCTTTCTTCCTTCAGGATGCTACCCCGGCACCACTTTCTACATCTCTGGTGTCAAATGCAAAGAGAAACGGGGGCCACTGAGCCATACTTGAGGATCTTTGCAGACCATGAATGGACTTAGAAAACCACATATTACATTACTAATTTATTATACTTTTATATATACTTATATTTTATGTATTGAGTATATATTGTATATCTCTGTGATAGTTATCTAGTTTATTACTTCCCAATTGTATTTTTTATTAATTTATTTTTTAGTTTTCAACAATCACTTCCATGTATTTTTGAGTTTTAAAATTTTCTCCCCTTCTCTCCCTGCCTCCGTCCCCAAGATGGTGTGCAATCTGACATAGGCTCTACATATCCATTGCTATTAAACATATTTTCACATTAATCATGTTGTAAGGAAGAATTAGAACCAATAGGAGGAACCACAAGAAAGAGGAAACAAAACAGAACAGAAGGAAAAAAAGAGTATGCTTCCATCCCCAATTACATTTTAATCTGATGCTGGCAGTATCTGGGAGTGTTGAGGAAGCCTTAGGCAACGTATTTGACACCTCTGTTCTGTGTGAACTTTTTCCTGATCCTTTACCTTAAGCACCCCCCCCCCAGTGCCTTCCCACCCACATAGCTTTGCATTTATTTGTATTTGTTCTCTGTATATTTATTCTGGATAGCCTTCTCTATGTCTCCTCTTTTAGGATGTGAGCTCCTTACCAGCAGAATGGTGTCATTCCCCTTATTTGTATCTCCAGGGCCTGGCACATAGTAGGTACTTAATAAATGCTTATTGATTGGTTGATTGATAGAAGGGAGAGACTCAGAAAAATGTAATTTGCATCAGGTCAGTCAGATGATTAGTAACGGTCAGAACTAAAACGGATTGTAGGAGCCATAAGCTTTCTTTATGTCCTGTACCTTGAGTACAGACTGGGTACTGATGGACCTTCTG